ATGAAGGAATGTCAATAACATAGAAATTGCACATCTGCCATTTGTGCCAATCATCAAAGCCACACACACATACACACACAGGGGAGTAAGCAAACTCAACCATTGTGTGTATCTTATTTCAGTGTAACTCTCTAACAGACAGTGAGTATCGGTCTGATATATGCGAGCGTATATGAGTCTGTGTGTTACTCTCAGTAAATTCACAGGTCCCCCAGGACAACCTTGACAGACACATTTACAAGCAAGGTAATTAAAAAATCCCTTTAAATAGCCACCATGTTATATGTCACTGTAAAGGTCAACAACCTTCTGTTTTAGCCAATCACAGACTGGACGGCCATTCTTATAAGTTATCGGCCTAGTCAATACAGCGGCGTAATAAACGACCAGCCTTCATTTAGTTACACATCCACAATATCTCACACACACACACACAAACGCACGGACAGCGGTGGTCTAGCAACCAAGCTGACAAGGCAGAGTCCTCACGTCAACGTGCATCGAGTGAACCGGACTGCGGTGAACCACGTTGTGACACCTGACAAACAACATGCAATCTTGTTACAAGGACACCTCCAGACCACTCCATCCACCCCTTCTACCCTTCACACAGGCCTACATGATATCATCGTCCGCACAGCTGCCGTTGACCTTTACGGGCACCGCTTGTTGGACAACCATCAACCGAGATCACATTGTACAGCAGCTCACTCTGGTGTCGCTGGTGCACGCGTATCTGCGTGGGTGTGTGTGTGTGTGTGACAGGGGAAGTCGAAAGCGGGTTCGTTTTTATACAACCAGACGTCCACCACCGCAACGAGATCAAATATAGACAGACGGAGAGAACCTTGGCTGTACCACTTCATCCTCTGTGTTCAATCAATGTCTTCATATTCCAGAAAACACAACACCCACCTCAGACTTAGACAAAGTGACGGGGGGCTGCGGGGCTTGGGTTCTGTGGGACCCGTCTCTTTTCTAAGGCAGAGCGATGCTCAACACACTTACCGGTGCGTTCATTAAAGACACGCTCCCGGCGTCAAAGATGGCCAGATAGACAGAAGATGCGGGGGAGAGGGGTGATTTTAAGTGATATCGCTGGTTACAGGAGCAGCGTCGATTCCATTCCCGCAGGATCGCCGGAATACTAAAGATCCCAGAAGCTTCATATTGTGTATTGTGAAATATCACTTGAGGCTGGTGTTGCACCTGAGTAAGAACAGTGAGTGGGTGGTGATGTGGCTTGTTAGAGGTCGATGAGGATGTAACAGAGGAAATTAGACGGAGCCTGGTTGAAAAGACTGGACGACTTGACTACTACTGGACTACTTGGACTACAGGAGAGACGTTAGGTCGGAAAAGGACTGTCATAGTCATATCACTTGGACTACAGGAGAGACGTTAGGTTGAAAAGGCCTGTCATCTGGGAGGGAGCTGGTCACTGTCATTGTCAGGTGGCGTTGCTGTTGACAAGGGATAACGTCCAGAACAGATGTGCGTGAGAGAGGAGATCTGGAGAGAAGAGATGGAAAGAAGATCTGAGGAGGTCAGACTGGAATGACAGCGTGTCTCAAATACACAGTGAAGATGATCTATTCAGGGACCATACAATTCCAATGAGGAGAGTGTGTCCACTAAGTATTAGCCCCACGTAAAGAAAGCATGTGACGTTAGAAACACACAGTTCAATAAATCGTTCCCCTAGGCAAGGTGTTTGTAAAAGCACTTTCTGACAACTTTGTTTTAAAGAAAATGGGTTTATAAAATACATGTGATTGATTGATTGGTTCCAAGACAATAGCTTTAGACAGAGTGAGATTTCCAAGGGGGCTCTGACTGATTTGTCACATGTTCATTTCTGCCCTGTGCAATTGTCTAACTGCAGCCTTGTGCAGGTCTGGACAGGCTTGTGCACAGCTTCATTTGATCTTAATCCATCTTTCTTTGTCAGCAATTATCATGCCGCTGCTTTAAAGTTGTTAAGAATGGACTCTTTTGACTTTTCCTTTGCCTTTTTGTTTTAATATATTGCCTGTGCTTTCTATTTGTGCTTCATGGGAATCTGCCCTGCTACCGTAAGCTATGATGGCGCCATATAGGCATAACTTGTCCGGCGTTTTGCAGAGTGTAATTTGTGTCCCTTAGGTCAACAAACTAAAATGACACATCCGATGCAAGCTAAACTGTGATAAAGCTGGACCCTGCTGCAAAAAAAACCCTGCTCATGGCCCCCCATGCATAAATGCAGATTTTACATAATGTGTTTGACAACACACAGAATAGTCTGGGGGAGCAAGCTTTTAGGGAAACTGTCGACCGGCTCAAAATAAGTATGATTATTCTGTAGATGGACATCAACAACTGCCTTTATAGTGCATTCATTAGGATGCTCTGTTTGGCATACAGTGGTACTGATGCTGCCCTCGTCCCCAGATCGGGGCAATTACATGCGAGCCGAAATGAAAGCTCATCTGGATCTCTAGTATGTGAACCCCACCGTGAAGCAATAAGGAACATTTTTCACAGCGATCAGACTCACCAACAGACACAATCTCACATTATAAGGCATGTTCTGCCACCATAGAAATAGCTAGACGACCACAGACGACTCTGCATTGGCCTAACATGTTTGACAATTGTAGGTACTACATTGGGCAATGCGATTTTCAGAGGAACCGTTAATAGTAAAAATAATAATAACACTATAGCTTGTTGACGCACTGTTCAACAATCTAGATGGACTTTGCCTTCATAAAAACGCATGACAGTGTCGCATTGTGACATTATGAACTATAAAGAGCCCTCACACGCAATTTCCACCCGGATAGGATGTGCAACACAACATAAGAGCACGTATGCTTTTAATTCTCCATCCCCATATAGGAGCGCAACTCACCGACCGGATCCAATGATAAGATGCGAGTCCGTGTAGTAGCCACTAGTCCCGGTAACCCAGCAACCTCCTCCTCATCTCTCGGGGCAACACCGTAATGATGCCGCACAGGGGTGTTTTACTTTTTAAATATGACAACCAGATCAATAACCCCCAACATGGGTCCACGGCTCCTCATAAAGAGCAGGCTTCACGTCTCCTTTTGGCTCAACGTGCGCTCCAAGTGCAACTGCAAAGACCGTACCAAGATATCTCCAAAAAGAGGGGCGCGCAATATTTTTCTATTTTGATTTACCTAAAATATAATTTCAGAACATATACGCATTCGTTTTATTGTATGATTCTCTTTGAAAACGTCAGCAAGTGCCATGATTAACCACTCAAAGTGGTCAACTTTAACGTATTTGTCCAATGGCAGAACAGCGAGAAGTGGATTGTGTTTCCGGAACTATCCAGCGGTCTGTCAACAGGTCTTATTATGGAATACAGATCTACAGCTGGTATGCATGTATGTAAACACTAAGGATGTTCTGATAAGAACTGGAGTGTCAACATTTAGGAAGTGTGGAATGTTGGGAAAAGAAAGGGGTTAATTTAAAGCACCTTCTTGATGTATACTAGAAAGGTAGTAGAATGTTATTTTCTTTTTATTTGAATGTCTCAGAATCAGGTTTATTTGCCAAGTCTGTTTACACACACAGGGATTTTTTTCTGACCATATATAGAATACGTCTGAATTGTGCAAAGGTGCAGTGTCTAGATGTGTGAGCAGATTGCAATGACCAGGTTTAAGTATGAAATAATATGTAATAACACACCCACAGTATAAATGTTAGGTGTATACATTTAAATATTGTGCTTGTCTAGCCCACAAATCTTTTATCATCTGATGTGGCCCCTGAGTTGAACAGTTTGCCCTAAAATTAGATCCTAATGTAATTTGTACCTTATCAGCTGCCGCAGGCACTACAGTCTTTGTTGTGCTTTCTTAGTGAGAGAGGTGATGTTCAGCTCCCACTTGAGGTCCTGGGTGATGGTGTTGCCCAGGAAGCGAAAGGACTCCACTCTGTTGACAGGGGAGCCCTCCTGGACAATGGGATGAAGGTCAGCTGGGCTTCTTATAAAGTCTACTCTCATCTCCACTATCTTTAGAAAATTAACTTGTTGAGACTGCAACAGGACACCAGCCGGTCGATTTCCCCCCTGTAGATGGTATATTCCCCATGAGAGATCAGACCAATGAGGGTGGTGTCATCTTCAGACTTCAGAAGTTTGACAGAGTGGTGACTGGAGGTGCAGCTGTTGGTATTCAGAGAGATGATAAGAGGGTACCTGACACAGCCTTGAGGGGTGCCAGTGATTATGGTCAGATAGTCCGACAGGTGTTTCCCCAACCTCACATAGAGTCCCATAGTAGATTCAGGAAAGGAGGTAGATGCCATTGTAGTCTCAGGGGAGGTGTCAACTGGGATGGTTGGTTGTGGGCGAGCCCTGGAAAACGGGGACTGTTGGTGGTGGCAGGACGCAGCTGACGGGGGAGTGCAGACAGGACAGCTACTTTGACTCTCAAATCTGAAGTAAAACTAGTTTAGGTCGTTTGCAAGTTGCAGATCGTCGGTAGCCTGGGGTGATTTGCATTTGTTATCGGTTTAATCCCCCTGTCCAGAACGAAGCAGAGTCATTTTATGAGAGCTGTTGTTTCAGTTTGTCCCCATACAAGCACTTGGCCTCCTTAACTGCCTTGGATAAGTTGTTAGCCTTTCTGAGTAGGTCCCTGTCGCCACTTCTGAAAGCCTCCTCCCCGCCAGCAGATGTCTGAGATTAGCTGTGAACCAGGGTTTGTCCTTATTATGGTGAGCCCTTGTTTGAGTTGGGATGCAACTATCCTCACAGAAGCTGATGTATGAAGTAACAGCTTCAGTATATTCATCAAGATTATCTGTGGCAGCCCATAATATAGCCCAATCAGTACAGTCCAGAAAATCACTTAGTCTCTTTGGCTTCACCGCTCCACCTTTTAGAATTTCTTTATTTTTTGTATAATATATTAATATATTTTACCAGATAGGCCACTTGAGAACAAATTCTCATTTGCAATTGCGACCTGTGGAGAAGCAGGGAATTTAACCCTGGACATCATACATACAACGCATGTACTCTACCACTGAGCTACCGACTTATCCAACTTGTTTCAACAGGCTTAGAATTTTAATTTTTACCTGTAAAATGTAATTAGGTGGACCATCACATGGTCTGAGAGGCCCTGTATAGCATGGCAGGTATACCATCCTTGTCTAATATGATATAGCTTACAACCGAAGCCACGATTTAGCATTTCCGTTTGGATTGAATGTATCTAAAGGATCAATTTTTGACTTGTGTGAGGATTATAAAGCTGTCAATTATATTTCTATGATTTTGACAGCATTTCCTATAAGATTTGAAAAAACATGAATATCTGCACCAGTGAACCTAACCAGGGACCTTAAATAGCCCACTGATTAACTAACCTATGTAACATTATATTAATAACAAGCACATGTGAACCTAACCAGGGACCTTAAATAGCCCACTGATTAACTAACTAACCTATGTAACATATTAATAACAAGCACCAGTGAACCTAACCAGGAACCTGAAATAGCCCACTGATTAAATAACCTATGTAACATTATATTAATAACAAGCACCAGTGAACCTAACCAGGAACCTGAAATAGCCCACTGATTAACTAACCTATGACAAACAATACCTGACAAAGAACATAGAACACACAGGACTTTATATATATACACACACATTAATTATGAACAGGTGTTAGAATTCCGCTGAATGGGGAGTTCTTATTGGCTGGTACGTGGTGGTGGTAGCTGGTGTTACTGTGGCTTGACTGGTGGCGGTAGTAGCAGGTGTTACAATTTCAGACAACATTTCAGACACAGTCCATCTGTAGGTTGTGTAAAGAATTAAGAGGAATGACGTACAACAGACGTCGTAGACGCCGTAAGATGCCGTAGAATCAGCAGAATTTCAGCATGATATCAGGCCTGGATTAGAAAAAAAACATTAAGCCGTTCTTCGAGTCTGATGTGTTTTGGCGTCTTACAGAAAAGGTCCCTATTAATATCCTTCTCTGCCAAGATCTAGTGCAACTTTATGACCCCAACTGTTTTTCGCGTGGAGTCTGACCTTTGCAGTTAGCATTTGTTCTCACACACCTTTTCACTCTTTAACCAACTGTCATAGGGGGAAAAAAGAAAATGTAAGATCTTCCTTTTGGTCCCCAAGGTAAAATGCCACACAGGAAGTCATGTTTTGGAAAGAGACTCCTTGTTCCTGGTCCTCTTTGTTAAAAGACATTTGGCCACCTAAAGAAAACAGGGCTGCATTAGTATCCAGAGTAGGGGTATTGAACTGTTGGACGTATATTTCTGGATGATATACAGTACATTCGCTAGATGAGCAACAGGGGAGGTTAGTCACACAGTATCACTTTCATCCACTAAATTACACGTTACAGGTATTCCAGTACACCCCGGCTTTTACAAGTGCTCTTTCTGGTAATGCTAAGCTAATATAACAGGTTTTTGCCAAACTTTTGAACAGTGTTGACACTCTGCTGGTGAAAGACAGAGTGGCAGTGGGGAGATGAGAAGGTGATGCGGTCATCTGGTGTATTGGTTCATTACGATGGAGAGAGAAAGAGACCGCATTCTCTCATTTCATACATAACCCCCCCCCCACCCCCAGGGGTCAGAGCAGAGCGACTCACCAGTCACAGTTTCTGTTGAGCTAAAGAATGACACCTGAATGGGATGTAATTAGGTTGTAAACTATGCTTTAATGCTGGACCAAGTCTATTTAGACCTAAAAGGAAAAGCGGGGACCTTTTCCTTAACAGAATTGTCAGTAATTGATCAAAATGGATTCTGGGATTTATAGAATCAATGAGTCGTTTTGTCTCTTCACATGCAATGACGGGAGATGGTTTAAAGTGGTTAAAAGACATGTTCATTAGATAACCTACAGAAAACTAAAGTTGTGTTGAAAGAGGACAAATTGTATTCTTGCTTTCCAATTCATTATGTGGGCAATGTGCCACAGACTGTATTAAGTGAAGCATTTCACCAACAGGAAAACCCTGTTTCAAAGTCAGATACTGTGAGTCAGGCTCAAAAACAGGCAGTGGTTTCACCAACATGCTTCTCCTCATGTTATTCATTCACAGAGAAGCACAAAGCTCACAAGCCACATAAAAAGCTAAGTATTAAAAAGTATGTAGACTCAAACTGAAACAAAGCATGTAAAAAGAGAAGAAAGACTAGATCTGTAGTACAAGTTCAATATTTTGAGAGGGGAGAAATGTGGTTATGTGATATTCATGGCTCATTACAAATACATATATGCCACCAGATGGTTAATGCATTAATATATTACGCTGATGGTCGTTCAGAGTACTGGGACACACCCATTTAAGTGTGTATTGCTGCCTGCGCCAGCCTACCAGTCGTTACTTCATGCTCAGATTTAGTAAAAAGGACATAGTTATAAAGAAATAGTCCCATACTTTTATACATAATAAGTTCCACAGGTAATTACACAGTTCTTTGTTTTTAAAACCACTTTTATAGAGGTGTACAAGGCAGTCCATATAACAGATTCAGTTTGGAATAGTGATATTTCTATTGTTTTTCCCCATCACAGGCGCTCCATTCTCCCTGTAACCTAACACGGCAGAGGAACAGCCACTGTATCTCCAGGCTTTACTTAATAACTTATCTGGCCTTTTTGTTCTGTGGGATAGTATATTTTTAGTCGCAGACACAATGACAATAAGAGAGCCTAAAGGAGGGAACAGAAATCCCCTCCTCATCGCCAACAGTATTCTGGAATACAGAAAAGGGAGAGGCCAGAACGACCCCTTCCACATCGAATCGGTTTGAGTGGAGCAGGTAGAGAGCTAAAAGTTCCTTGATGTCCGTATCATCAATAAATGACCATGGTGCACAAAAACCAAGATAGTGGCTAACAAAGGATGTTGGTGTCTCTTCTCCAATACAGGCTGGAAATAGTTGGCATAGGACCTCAGAACCTCAAACACAAATGCACCCTTATACGCATCTCTCCTCGAAAACAGCCACACCACTGAGAGCATCTTGACAGGCTGAGTCACTGGTTGGTATGGCAACTGTGCAACCCTTAATTGTTCTTCTAAATCGTTTTAGAGGGTGGTGTGTGTGAGTAGTCAAGTTGAACACGGGGTCAAGGACGTGAAAGATGTGTTCACTGTCACAGTTTAGTGGCCCAAAGATCTTGACCACCGGTGCCCCCAGAGTGTTATAGCCGACCCGGCCCTTTTCCCAAAAATGCAAATAAAAGCCATTAAATATAACAGAATGAATGTAAGTGAGTAATGTGGTTGAACACATAATCCATGTGGCATGTACCAGTTGAGTACATATATACACCAGCAGTTGGCAGACACATTTGGACCAATCACGGTGTCCTGTTACCAACCGGGTTGAATTACAAACGGGCGTTCCTGGTTTTAAGACCACGCCCTTTTTGTTGTTTGGTTCGCGTCGTAGGAAATGACATATTGATATCGTGGGTTGTTGACTTTTTGACATTTCTGTTTTTCCACTTTTCCAGTATTGCGTATTACTTATTTTAAACTAAAATGGGAGCGTGTTTGGCGCTGTGTTCGATCGCCAGCTGTGTAAGTATGAGTTTATTTATTTGCATAACATGCATATTCATATTTTAAACGATACACACGTTGCCGTATGTATTATACGACGTTTATGACAATGTGAAGTGGGTTTAGATACTTAAAACATTAACAGTGGTCAAGATACATGTGTGTGTTTTGTTCTTCTGTTCCAAAAGTTTGATCTTCGTGTATTTCCGGGTTCGGGCACTATTAATGTGCGTCGTCTCTTCCTCCTGTTTAAATTATACTACAAGGAACTATATGGTTCTTATGCCGTGTTCCAGAGTTGAATAATATCCTGTTCAATAAGTATATCCGGTGATGGTGACTATAAGTGTGTTCCCAATGTTCCAGAGTTGAATAATCCTGTTCAGTTTATTTATTACCTGAAGGTTTCCTTATAGCCTAACCCACCTCTATTCTAGCATATAACACCATTTCATATATTGCCACATGTCACTACCTGCCTATAGCTACGTATAACTGAACAAAACCTGAAAGAGCAATATGAAGTTAAAGAGCTGTGGCTGAATATGCTTTCCCAAGAAAGGCAGGTAGCCTACCTAGAGCTTTAGATGGGTGCTGACCACACACTGGTGGCAAACTCGCCTGTGGTTGCACTGTGTCGATATTGTAAGAGTCAACGAATCCAGAATTAAATTCTACGTTCCCACGTCAGCAGAAAGCCTGTCTCGTTTCCTAGTTTTAGGCCTGTGTGGGGCATCATGTTTTAATAATGTTGGGTCCTGGTCAGAAACAGCTTCCAGATAACAATTTATGCCACAAATGATGCTCAGTTCACAACTGAACGTGTCTCTGGGCTTATCCAGCTCATGCCTCAATAGTTCAATAGTTCATACATACAGAGTCTCTCCTTTTGACTGTCTGCTAGCATAATCAGAGATTCTTTGACATCATACGACATATCACATGCACTTCCTCAATATAGTCTGTTTTACTCCCACCAATTGACAAAGCAGGTCCACTGGGAGAAACCGTGGATCTCCAACAGTGCTTTTTGGGAAAGAGGCGTTAGGGTAGTAGACCGAGGAATTGAGAGGTTTGAGAAGTACAAAGGGAACGGCGTTAGTGTGTGTTGCCGCGTCAATCTAACTTTAAATAGCACCCCCTGCCATTATCACTCACCTGATTACCGTCAACACAAACATCAGTTGTCTGTGTTTGTTTTGGATGAGAAACACATGTTGCAATGGCTGCTGGGACAATAACAAACCACACGCAACTGGACCCTGCAAGAGTAAATGTTGTTATATAATGCCTTCTACCAGGTAGTCTGTGTTACGGGTGGTTGTCTGTAAAATATGACTGTGTTGTCCTACTGTTCTTGCTCTCTGTCCCTCCAGGCATCCTGTCTGTGTGGCTCAGCTCCGTGTCTCCTGTCAGGATGCTGTCCCTCTACCTACAACTCCACCGTGTCCAGGTTGGCCTTCTCCTTCCTGCTACTGCTGG